GTGAAAATTTCAACTGTCTTGCTCACGGCTCATAAGACAGACAGCAGACACAGAAAGATGAACAGTTGAGTCTAAGTTATAGAGTCCCGTTTTTATCTTTTGCGTACGGAATCCTAAAAAGGAATGGCTACGTACTTACTTAGATGATATCTTGTATGTTGAATAAAATGATTTCGTTAGTACTTTGTTTTTATGCGTCAATTACTACTATATTGCGAATTCTTTTGGGTTCAGAACAGAATTGCTTACTTGGAAAATTTATTAACTATGCCTGATAGTGGATATTGAATGCAAATATTAATCAGTTTTTTTATTGCTAAAATGGTAGTTTATGTAATCTTGGACATTTTTTTTGATTTTATAATTAATACTTACTCAGTACATTACTACAGCGGCCAGTAAAAGAGGCATTGATGGACGAACGTGTAAATGTGAGCCGAGGCGAATCTGAGGCACACATAATGTAAGTCCATCAATGCCTAGTTATAGCCTTAAGCTTGTATAGTAGCTTTCTCAAATAATGCGCCGAAATTAAAACTAAGTTGTACCTTGGTAGAACTTTTGAAATACTGGAAAATCAATTACGAACTACATTATTTTTTTCCGAGTTAAGAGTGTTCGTTTGTTTTTTTTTATAAACAGCTTTCTATATGGTAGTCAAGGTTGAAATTTAAATAAAACCTTTGATAAGTTACCTCCTCGGTAGCCATGATTCGGAGTAAAAGATCGGAGTAAAAGATGGTCATTTTTAAATTTCAAGACAGATATGAGTTTACTATGTAATTTATTTGGCCGCTAAACACGACAGATATGGATTTTTATACAACTTTTGCCGGTCGCTGCTCGCATGTATCTGACTAGGTAGCACAGCAATTTCGATTTATCTCGAAGAAGTTGTCAAAATAATGCTCACATTTCCCAGCATATTTGAGAAAAGGTACTAATTGTAAATATTCTATTTATTTCAGAGCAAACACTAAGTTTCTGTATATTAAGTGACATCCAGCTATGTTTAACTATAAGACATAGGTCAGTGCATTTCTGCGAGTGCTCCTGGTTTCCAAATACAATCTAAATGAAAGATGACATTCCATTATATAAAATTTAATTAAATTTTCCTTCTAATAACTTACTACAAAAACGTTTAGAACTGTATACCTACAAGCACATCACTCTTTAATACTCAATCATAAAGTATTTCAATTGCAATTTCCACAATGGCTCCGATATCTATTGTTGAGTGTCGTTTTAAAATCCAAAAATATACATGTAACAAAGCTGTAATTATTGGTTATGGTTCCGTCCGCATCTTCACGAGCCATTGTGAATTGTGCTGCTTAGATGTCTCCATTTGCGATTTTCCAAGGTGTGGGCTAAATGTTATTTCACTATAGCATTGTGGGCACGCCCGTAGCGCCATTGTTCATGCACTTTGTGCTGGGACGTATCACTCCTACCTATTTCTTTATTCACCGCGAATTTCGGACTCAAATGATGGATGGGTCGGAATCTGCGAGACAATCACGTGAGAAGTTATACGACTCTGGGGATCAAAATACGTTTGATATTGATGTTTTATTATGAAATATTGGACTAACCTAACATTTTAATAATAGGTTTTCTAAATGTGAAAGTTTGTATAAGTGAATGTTTGGATATTATAATCTACTATGCAAAACTGGCTATAAGGATCAAATTATTTTGAGGTAAACACTGAGGTTTTTTTAGCTTATTACTTTTATAGCATATAACACTTTTATAGCTTATTACTTGAATTGCTTTTTATACCGGTACGTAACTGTAAGGTTCCTGCAGAATAATCAAAAAATTAACCAAAGTTTGTATTGATCTATGGGAAGATTTAGATTTTAAGGATTTTTTATCTAATTTAAATGTTTCCTAGGCATCTAAGAATTCTTAAGTCCATGATGACAAAGTCACGATTTGGTGTCATATATATATATATATATATATATATATATATATATATATACATATAATCAATTAGGTACCAATGCGATGAAATTTACGTAAAACATACCAAAAATATATTAAAAAGAACCTAAATGAATATTAAAATTATATTGGCACTTTATTGATCAAAACCAACTAAGTAGGCGTTTAAAGTTTGAACATCTAGAAGTCAAATGCCTCCAAAATAAAAATAGAAGTACGTAGGTATGTAATAATACAGAAACACTGTTAGAAACAATAGAAAAAAGAATTTGTTTCGATGAACGTTGTTTCTTTAAATAGGAAATTCATTTTCTATAACTATCTCATAACATAGTCTGTAAATTATAATATGATTAAGCAAAGAGCCGGTTTTATGCGATAATCTCTATTCATCCCAAATAAAAGGTTTCAGTTTTTGCAGCGTAAACAATGCAAACCTGGCAGGTAAACTAAAAGGAGAATCAATGGGGACAATATTTAATATGAATTGCTTCTCGGAGGCGACGCAGAGTCTATTAAAATCGCGTTTGGCGCCTTCTCAATGGGATGATTGAAGGGCTCTAAACAATTCATCCTTACACTGTCTCAATGGCATGGCCCACATTCCTTGTGTAATCTTTTTAAAGCACAATGGGCGTGACAATGCCCAGTACTTCACTATTCAATACTCTTTAAAAACTCGCCTCTTCGTTCCAAATTAATGTAATTTTTTCCGTTGTTCAGTGAAGGCAATGCCGCCCAGTGTGCAGTCTTGGAATGACCAAACTAATGATTATAGGAAATGAAGACTTAGTCAGGTGGAAATAAAACCTCTTTTGGGCTGCACGGATTTTACATAGAGTTTGTTTTAGGTATTCTATTAGACACAGTGTAGGCTGTTGTCGTAAACACAATGAAACGGTTCATTGTTTAAAATTCATTGGTGTGACCGTAATAAATTCAGCATTGCGTATTATACGTCACCGTTGGATCTCCACTTGACTGGTTAACTTGATTCTAATGAAAGTCGCCTCTGTACAATACATCAGCTGATTCTATGGGGCGCCCACTTGTTGCATAGCTGATTGTTATTTTTTATGACGGACCGTGAAGCGAACAGTTTAATTACTTTACTATTTCTGAAAATGAATATTTTCATAAATATATTGGCGATGCCAGTGTTAAAATATTAATTTCTTTAATTTTTTCTCTAAGAGATTTTCTTGCCTTTAACTAGTATATACCGCAGAGCTCAGTCTACTTGATTAGGCATCAATATGAGGATCCCATTGCAAATGCGAGTCTAAAGTATATATAATAATAATAATAAATGTTTCTAACACTCACACCAATTAGCCTAGCCCCAAAGTAAGCACTGAAAGGCTTGTGTTACAGGTTACTAGGGTAACGGATAGAATACATATACTTTACATATATAAGTATATTTATATAGAATTACATATTTAACATCCATGACTGGAGTACAAATGCTCGTGTTCATCACACAAACATCTGCCGCCACCGGGATTCGAACCCGGGACCTCTCGAGTCGGCGACACCATGAAACCCGGCGTACAAACCACTCGACCACGGAGGTCGTCAGTATGTATCTACAGGCTCCTCAAACTCCAATAACTGTACAGGCTGGTCATTTATTTTTATACTAGTATATGTCCCACCTGATGGTAGTAATACCACCCTTTGCCATCCCAACCCCGTTCCCAACCTCGTGGAATCCTGGAACATACTCACTCAGAGAAACGCAACACCACCCATAGGTACTGGTTTTCCCCAGATTGATTCCAATACGAGCGGGAAATCTGCTATGCCATATCGGGGTGGATGATATACTTATTTGCCATCTATTTACGTTATAAAACAAATAGGAAAATAGTAAGAAACAACCGGTTCGATCAATGTTTTTTGCAGGACACACAAAAATATTTCTGTGACAGTGTTAAAAATTATGAAACATTGATAGTAAAATAAAATCATAGTGCGTTCTATCGGCTCTGCAATGCTTTTCCTTTGCACGTGCGTAACGCTCCAAGCAGGGCTGTGTTTAAGACTTCGGTGCGGGAACACTACCTTAATCTATTGCAAAGTGCTTAATCGGAATCTGCAATCGGATACAGTATAGTTGTATATGTATGTGAGTATATATACATTTATTTATATGTATTTATGTATATATTTATGTAGGTATGGTTGTATGTATAATTATAATTTGCTCATTGTTTGATTTTAATCTCTCTTCTTTGAGTCTGTTGTTTTTTAGCTTTGTAATATTCTTTCCTGTTGACTGGTAGAGAGTGCCATATTGGCATTAAGTCTGCCATTTGTAGTGTAAAGGCAAAAAAGAATAAATAAATAAAAAAAAACTGTATGATTTTGATCAAAAGAAAGTCTTACTGCTGCAGTAGAGATTATTAAGCTGTAACCTAATGACAGTCAATGTCAATTATAAGAAGAATATTTTGTGATTAATGTAATTTACATTAATATGTAATTTACTAAGCTGTAACCTAATTATATTACAGCTTAGTAATCTCTACTGTAGTGGTAAAAGTCTTTCTTTTTTTCAAAATCATACAGATAGAACGGACCGTATATTATTTTACTACACTATCTTACCATTTGGGGAGTAGGTCATGGCTCACACATTTTGATTTTTACCAACCTATAGTTAAATATCACTGACAACGCAATGTTTATTTATACATATGAAAATGTAAGACTTACAATATATGTACTTATTATTAATAACTCACCCTTTTATTAATCACGCCTCATCCCGCTGCATTAAATATTACATAATAATAATAAAATTGTAATGAGTTTCTCTAGAAATTGTTTATTAAACACGCTACGCTTTATTCAATAAATTCTGTGGCACGTGTATAAAAGTTCATCTCTTTCGTTCCTTTTTGGGTGCGCCAGGTAACAAGAAAAAAAAATCTAAGGGCGTAAGGGTTCTCTATCAAATTTTTTAGTCAAGGTGCGCCCATAAAATGCGCCGGCTCAGCCCCGAGCGACCATTCAATAGATCGCTGCCGAGTCGCACGCACTTTCTAAGCTCTCTAACGTTCAAACTTTCGATCGCAAGTCCAGTGTCATCATAATCAAGATGCTTCAAAGTATTCATCATCAATCTAACTTTCATACTTCGAGTTACCCACATCGTGAAATCTCAAGATTAGTGCCTATTGCGCCGGCTCCTGAAATGAAATATAACGATATTGAACCGGAACGGAAGAAATATAATTACAAGAGTAACCCTTACACGGGCGTCCAAGCCGCCTCGATTGCAAGGAGAAATGCTCGCGAAAGAAACCGTGTGAAACAAGTGAACGACGGATTTAACGCGCTGAGAAAGAGGCTGCCCGCGACTGTCATAGCCGCACTGTCCGGAGGATCGAGACGTGGATCTGGAAAGAAATTAAGCAAAGTGGACACCCTACGAATGGTCGTGGAATACATAAGGTATTTGGAAAATCTGATCGACGAAAGTGACTTGGCCATGGGTATTACGAAGCCGACGCAAGTGCCCCCCGCAGACTCAATTGCTTACGAGGATGAGGGCGTCTTCGGTGGAAGTTCGCCGTATTCGGATTCAGTGCCTTCCCCGGTCGGTTCCGAGTGCTCTTCTGGTGTGTCAGTATACTCATCAAATAATGGTTACATAGCAAACGTGTACCAAACCAATGAACAAATGACAGCGATGGATGAAGATGATTTGCTAGACACAATTTCATGGTGGCAACAAAAGTAGTGGTCCTCTAGCTTTTTTTAATTGTAGTGAATTTTTCTAGTCAAACAATATCCTATTATTAGTATAGATCGAAAAGTCGTTTATAAAAAAATGAAAATTATGACAGAATGATCATTGTACATATTATTTGTAAATATAAACTTATGAGAATGTACAAAATTTATGAAATTTTTGAAAGAATTTATAATTATAATGTACCTACCTATTCGTGTTTATAATGGTGTAATAAAATAAATATCATTATTTATTATTAAATGTGTTTTATGTCCCTAAGTATATAGAGAAATGAACAGAAAAAGAGTTGTTAAATAATCATTTGTCAAAAGCGAGTTTAAAAATTACATTGCAATGTATTCCACAGAGCGATCCCTAGCTTATCACTTCGGGTTTTTGGCAGCGCAGTTGGGTAGTAACAAATTTTGATTACTTATTTAATAGTTTTTCTTAAGTACAAAAATTCAAACAATATCTCACTCTTTAAAACCAGAGTAAAAATATTCATTGAAACACGAGTTAAACGAAGGTCCCAGTTGGAAGAAAAAAAATGTGCAGACTAATTTATGCTCGTCTCAATAAGTTTAGCGGAACGTTTGTCTAAACGATATTAAGTACCTAAATGGACAGTACTGAAAACAGAAAAAACAAGCCTGATTTATACAGATTCCCCTTATCCAACATTTACATTAAGAAGTAACTTCAGTCGCGCCTTGAAAGATAAAGTGTAAAGATAATGCTGATTGTAGTTACATATTTATTACCTACATAAGAGAGAATAAAATGATAAAACGAATGCCGTGAGAACGTGTTGTGTATTCGTTCGTTGTCAAAAATGAATTCTCCACTCTAATATTGTTTATTCATAAACTTCACTACCTATTATATTATTATAAATCACTATACAGAAACCTTTCTGTCGATTATTAAATTAACGCAATGGAATTGATGCCTGTTCTTATCTATCTGTTGACACCGATAAAAGTAATTTAGTTCTAGTACAGCTGCTATAATAAATAAATGCGGAACTATGGTTGTTTCATAATATATATCTATCTATACGGATGATTCTGAGCAACGTATTCCAAACTCTGTATCGTCACTTACAGAGTTAAGCCTCGGTACCTGTTTACTGTAAAATATAGTATCATTTCTGATTTGGATAGTTCCAATTCTACTAACATTATGAATGTTGTAAGTTTGTATGTTTATTCCTTAACCACGCAAAAAGTACGAAACGGGTTTTGCATATAGTTTATGAACTGGAGACATAGAATACTTTTTATCCCGGATTAATGTTAGATTCCAGTGGGATTCTCAAAAAAACTAAAGTTAACGCAAACTAAGTCGCTAGTTTTAAATATTAGTTGAATATGCATTGCGTCATTATACAGCTAAATATCTCTATTACTGTTGTGAGAGCTAATAAAGGATACTCTTTGGATATTAGACAAATGTAATTAGACAAAATTTAGAATTAATGAAATCGAAAGGGATATTACAGGTTCCACAGAATCAATGTTAGTGATAGAAACAGCCTCAAAAGTTTTTGATTTCTAATAGAAATTGGAATAAGAACATGAGTCTTGTTAGGAATCTCGACTATCGTCCCATAACGTCGTTCTTCACGTCTGAATTTCACGTAAGATCTAGACTGACTCGACCATTGTACCATAGCAAAGATGAACAAGCGTTTGCAACAAATTAAGACGGTATAATCGGTCACACAGCAAATCAACAAAAGAAATGAAAAATTGTTAATTAGATGGAGAAATTGGTCATTTTTTGATAGCTGAATCTGTATCTTTGATGTTTTGTCATCTTTATAAGAGTTATGACGTAGTAGGCTTGCATATTATCACATTCAATATCCGATGTCCAGAGAGTTAAGCTACTTCAACCATCTTCAATACTGTATTAATAAAAATAATACTATACTCAATATGTCACACATGAAGACCTCATTCGCTGTGACAAGTAAGATATACCATCGCGGAGATTAAACTTATCTCTATAAATAAAAGAGATGGCAATGATATTGTGTCCACGGGGTTGATTAAGCCATCGAAGCGCGGACTTCGCTCCAGTACATTGTTATACAAGATTAATGGTGTTCCTCCAGATAAGAAGGTGGGAGCTAAATGCATTTACATGTGCGAATAAAAAGACACCGATAAAAGCACAAAGAAGTTTTGCTTGGAATTAAAAATTGTGGTAACTACACACAACCACATTATAAAAAACTTTTAAGGTGCTATTTAAGTTAAGCAAGGTCATCTTCAATAAATAGTCACTTTATTATTATTAGCTTAATTAAAAAAAACCTTAAAAGTGATAAATTCATTTATTTATTTTACATTTCTACTTTATAGTTTATGATTTAATATTTCATTTTGTGTTATATTGTTTACAATGTAATTCGGGAGATAAAGAAAAAATAGTATTAAAACAATACATTATTAGCTAATGCTAAAATAAATTAATCATGTCATGTATAAGATAGGAACTGGAAGCTTTGGCCCTTTCTTCACAATAGCTAAAAAATATCTCAAATTGACGGTAGAAAAAAATATTGGACATCTCAAAACCTTCCTTATAGTGTACTTTAATTTGAATAAAAATTAATTTTGCGCTATTTCTATTTAATATGATGTTTTTACATAGTTTATTAATTACTAACCGCAGTGTACGATTGATTCTAATTCTTTTACATTTTAATCAACATTTTAAGTGTTATGTGTCATAATCATGGCAAATTTTGTATGATAATTGGGTATTACGAAACCTCCTTTTTGAGTTCCGTGATGATCCACGGACATGTAATATGCATCATGACATGATCCATTTAATTAACTCGTTATTAAATGAGTAGTATGCGCGGAAGCATAATTATGGGAATAACTAAGTTTCACTTGTACCATGGAATGATGTGTTAAACACGTTTAAGCCCTAATTTGAATTAAGAACCTTTGTGAAAACGGGCCTTAGAATCAAGGGGTACAAAAGACAAAAAAAATCTTTTTAAAATTTCCGTACTTTCCATTTGCATCCCTTTAAACACAAAAAGTGTAAGTAAGCTTTTATCTTTCATGGCAATATGGTGTACCTGGTAGCTTTCGACATTTTTTTAATAATGTTTTCCTTGCGATTTTATCCATGCTAGTTTAAGTTTTTCGAGAATGCAACAGAAGCTAAGAATATTTTTCGGTTTAAGTGTTCAACCGATTTTGGGCGATTGATTAACAAATATTCACATTCATAATACTAGTTATATGTTACGTTTAGGATCACGCCTGACACGGATTATACAAAAGTGTCAAGGGTATTTCACCAGTAATAAGCTTTATTTTCTTAGCGCCCGTGTGTCTTTATATTCTTAGCCCCTTATACGTTTAACACTCGCAGATTGGAGTTTACGATTATTAAAGCACTGATAGATACATATAATCTATACAGGCCCGGCTATCAATAAGTACTGAAATTTGCATTGTTAATTGCAATCGAGCTACTAAAGTTGAAACTAACGTGAGAAATCGATTTATAACTCCGAGATTCGTGTTATTCCATTCACCCGCTAAGATTACACAGTACAAAGGTAACATTCAGAATTTTATTTCCCATTTTGCTTTTATTTGCTTCCGTTTTGGCGGTTGTTGCAAAAAATGCGCATCGAAACAGAAAGCGTACCGATTTTGGAAACGATCAGGGACCGATTCCATTCGATTCTTTGTAAGATAATCTTATTACTTGGGGCACGTGAGCTTTGTAAGGTTCGTGATTTTTCGCAAAAGTCAGCGATAAACATAAAGAGATTTGAAAGTAATGGAATGAGGATTTGTATTCAGCCTTGTTTGTTTTATTTTTTATGTGTAAATATTATTATTTCACGAGTTTGACAAAAGTGAAACTGCAACTATCGATTTTATTCTTTACTATTATTAGCCATGATATTGTAAGTATAACGTCATTACATTAGCACGTGTTAAGGATATTTATATTTACATCATGTTTAGTATATATCATAGTCATTCAAATTATTGTTTGATCGATGTTTTTTAATAAAAAAGTAATATTTTTTATGCTTCACAATTTATTTATTAATTTATCATTATATGTTTTTGACGCAGCTAACGATAATGAGAGTATAAAAATCTAAAATTAATTGGAGAGGCTATGGCTGACCTAAAGCGCTTTTGTCTGTATCATACAATGACTTCTTTCAATTTACGAAATGATTTGACTTTCACTGCATTGTTTCATTTTCATAGTAACTTATTCAGTTTGAAACTTAAGTACTTGCTCAATGCTTATCGTTTAATAAAACCAAGTTACAATCATTTGACTGATTGATTTGAATTATTGTTTTGATGGATACTCTTTAAATGAATTATCTTATGTCCTTTGCTCTTAGTTTAGCTTAAAAACAGGTAGATTTTTACATATGATACTTATAGATTTGCGTGAACACGTATAAGCAGTCAAAATTATAATAATATGAGTCCCCAAGCAGAATATTATTTATAATTGAAAACGTCGTATGCGTAAGAGCTATCTCTTATGCAAATGTTTTATGGCCTCCTCCCTGTCGCATTGCTGTTGCGAGATTTATTGCATTATAAGCCTTACGAATAGTACTCGTCTATTAAGACCAATAAAAATGTTTGATATATTTGAATAACCTGGTCCCATTAACATGATCCGAGTCACTGCATCACTTCTTTTTTGTTTTAATAAATGTTTTACTTACGTGTTTGAGATACATCGCCCGGGGACGCGTGGCTATATTAAGGATTTGCAAATACCATTAGGGTCAGTGGTTACGCATTAAATCGTTGTCACCCTACGTGTATGTCGAACAAAATATCTTCGTAATCGTGATTAAAAAAAAACGAGTGTACTTATGACGACACGGCTGAAGTGAAACTTCTTTAGAATAAATCTTCTTTAAATGTGTGTGTACAATATATACATGTATGTACATATACATATTTCATTCATTGCTATAAGACAAAGGGAGAAAGAAAATATGCGCGCGCACTGCTTTCTCTTGCTTATATCCCCCACTCAACTCATTACCTGG